TAACACTCTCCAATTGACAACAACTTCTTGTTAAACTTGTCCCTTTTAGACTTTTAGTTCTTTCTATATAGTATCATATCATATCCCCTCATCTCAAACTTCTTGCCACAAGATTAATCCTGGTTTTTTTCCATTCATCAACAAAAAAAAAAAACATACTAGCATTTATTTGCACATATCAAACATGTGTCTAGGCTCAAATACAGAGTGGACACAATCACAACTACTTCATTCTCTTCCAAGAAAACCGAAGCGAACGAGGGTTCATATTCGCCGTCGTCTTTCAAGGTACGATACATACATAAATATATACCATATCGGAAGTGTCTGCAGACTCTGACAAGTCTGCAAACACTCCCGAGAATTGCATATATACATACATATATATGTCATTCATGGCTAAAAAGTGTAAGTATATATGTAACCTAATCATCATCCTCAGAAGGAGGGCCCGACGGGATGAAAAAGTCGATGCGGTTATGGAGCTCAAGAACTTGAAGCTGTACATGGAGAACATAACCATCATGGAGGAAAACGAGAGATTGAGGAGGCAAGCGAGTCTACTTCAGCAAGAGAATCGTAGTTTGATGTCCGAGTTTCAAAGGAGATTTTCCAATAATTACAAATGATCAGTAGATTAGAAGAATATATGTGTATGATCTTGGTTTTTGGAATCTTCTATCTTTGATGTAATGAAATAATCCAAATATGTTTTGGTACTATTAATGGAAAAATATTGTATCTTCAGTTTCATGTCCAAATTTAGCAAATTGTACCAATTTATTTGGTTGTGCCAAACATTTTTTATAGGATCATATACTTTTTTTTTTTTTTTTTTTGATATGTCAGATATAATGGATGAAAAAGGTGAAAAAAATTTAGAGTTGAAAATAAAATGATTTTGAGATTGTTAATGGATATAGGATAAGAATCTAAAAATTAAAATTGATGTTACATAAAAATAGTTATGGCTTGTTTGTTGAAATGTCACTTGTGAGTTGTCCCACATTGATTTGATAGGGTAAATAGGCCAACTTATAAGCCTAGTGGGCTACTCCTCCTACTACCAATTGGTTTTGAGATGGAACCTCACTTGGGCTTCATTTGGGCTAACCCTCTTCTTGTGCGCTTCACTTGTGTGGGACTGCACTTGTTTTGCCCCCGGTTTGACATGGTATCAGAGCGGGCCTAATTGGGACTTGCTATGAAAAAAAAAAAACAAAAGCTACTCGGCCTGGTTGTAAGCGTGGGCTGAAAATTATACCCGACCTGGTTATATGCGTGGGCTAAAAAAATATACCCGACCTAGTTGGAGGCGTGGGCTGATGAATGACTCACAAGTGAGGGGGCGTGTTGGAATATCACTTGTGAGTTGTCCCACATTGATTTGATAGGGTAAATAGGCCTAACTTATAAGCATAGTGGGCTACTCCTCCTACTACCAATTGGTTTTGGAATAGAACCTCATTTGGGCTTCATTTGGGCTAACCCTCTTCTTGTGCGCTTCACTTGTGTGGGACCGCACTCGATTTGCCCCCGATTTGACATTGTTACTGATAATTAGAAATATATAGTGGACGAATAAAATTCTTATTGGGAACATATGATGATGATTGATTTTATTTTTAAATTGATTTTACATTTATATAGAATGGTAAAAGTACCCATATTGGGAGAACAAAATTGAGATAAAATGAATATTATATATATATATATATTTATTTTTAAAAAGAAAAATCTATATCCAACAAAAATTTTAATTGAAAAAAATAAACTATCCAAATAGTTATATCCGATTATTACACCTAGGATATCGAAAATCATTTTACTATAAGCTTTCTATGAAAATCACCCTTTCCGCATTGGTAAATGAGATACGCAGAGATAATTTTCTTAGTATTATAATAGGAGGCTCTCATGTTCTTATTACGTTACGTGCAATATACAATATACTTAGAATACTCAAGTTTATGATCTCATAAGTTATATCTCTACGTGTTGGAGGTTTTACATCGATAACTTTCTTGACGTATTTTGCAGATCATCGGAGCTCGTGTGCAAAGATGTATGGTTTGTGGTATCGTCGATCTAATCCTGACCGGTCCACGTACAATTTGCACATCGTAGTTGATTACTAATTAAATATTAATTTCAAAAATACTAATTAAATATTAATCTTTATTGGATTGTTTTCCATACTAAAATAATTGTATCGGCAAAATAGTTTAAAATCATATAGTAATAAAAATAAAGGTGTGTAAAGGCTAAAATGTCTATTTGGAGTGATGGTCAAATGGAGAATTTTCTCGATTAATTGACACACGTAAATCAACCAAAAGTTGATTTAAACTTTTGCTAAAAGTCCAAGGAATATTTGGCTCAAGGCTGGTTCTTGTCCGTGTGCACCCACGAGAGTGCATGAAAACAATAAATAGTGTTGACCCCCGAGTTGAAAGCGGGCCACAAGGGAGAGAAAATGGTAGCCCGTATTCAGTGGGCAGAGCTCGATACATATAGCGGCTCATCAGGCAGAAAAAAGAACCAAGTCGCAAGAGACATCAAGGTTAAAAATAAGACGTAGGCACTGACTCGAGCTGGACTGGCAGGCTGTGTAAACATCATTAAGGATCTTGAATAAATAATTTGGTGTATACGAAATACTTAATGTAAACATCATTAAGGATCTTGAATAAATAATTTGGTGTATACGAAATACTTACTTGATGCGGAAGACGACATAATTAGTGATCTTGATCTTGATGATCACACAGGCTTGATCGATTGTTAGATCTGAAATTAGTTTCTCCCTCCTTACCTTCTCTTACGTAGCAGAAAAGTGATGGGATTAAACTGCGTACCCTAATAGGAGGAGAGAGGACTAATTTATATAGGGGTGTCTTTAGATCTGGTACGTCCATCAAATATCCAGATTAATGGCTTAGATTTGTTTGACTATTAAATAAGGTCTGGCCCAATAGGATAATTAAATGTGAGCCCAATGCTTTCGGGCCACATATTCTTACATTCTCCCACTTGGTCCGAAAGCCCATAATTTAATAGTATAACATTAGGTGCACATAAACAAATCTCGTTATGCCATACATCATAATAAACTATGACATGATAAACCAGATAGTGAGAGTTATGGCGGTTGTACACTCTCGATTCGCATACTTCCTTCCATATACTACTACACTAATAGTTCAACACATCAAGTTCCATAATTATATATAAATATCATAATGTCCACTTAATTGTCATGAAGACATTCATTTCTTGTTCTAAACATAATGTATACAAAATCATAATGAAAAAGAAATTCGATAATAGTCAGAAACATAACATCAATGAGCTCAAGAGTGTGCCATAACATCATCATGATCAATCATCAATACAACCAAGACCCATTCTATGTACATGTTCT